TACACACATAGTTGACCATATTTGGGCATAATAACTGAAATGCCAATAATAACAGTATAACCAGTCAATGTCACGTGATGATGAACCTTACATACAATTAGAAGAACTACTTGTCTTGTAAAGTAACTTCAACAATAATTACAAGATGATTGATGTCTCTCAATGGAGAGCAAGTATTAGACTGTGGAACTACTGTCAAGCTGCCTCCAGTAGACCAGCTAATGGCTGCCACTCTCACTCATTCAAAGCTGCAGTAGACAGCAAGTCAGGCAGTACTACATCAGGAGAGAAGACATCTAAACTGCCAGCAGCTCTGTCTCTTATTGCTTTACTCCTCCTCTTTCTCTCTCTTTCTTTATTAAGACACATCTTGATGATTCCTCCAACAGGTAAACAACAATTGTAGCTTTGTACTTGTATATTTACTGGTATTTTATTATTAGGTAACTGCTACCAAGTACAATGTACTACTGGTGTTACTGTTACTGATACAAATTACCTCCAGTCAGTAGTCTTACCTGGAGGCAGGAGTTCTAACCTGATTTACAATGATCTCTATTTGATTATTTGTCTACGTATGCTCCTCCTCTTATCAGGAGATGTTGAACTCAATCCTGGTCCTATGATTGATGATCAACCTGATATTTCATTATTAACTCAATGGCTTGAACCACTTGTTGACTGGAAACCATTTGGTCGTTGTTTACCAGAAATTACTTATTCTGAAATTTTAAAGATTGAAGCTGAAAATGCAACACTTGATGGAAGAAAGTCAGCGTTGTACTCAAAATGGCTGAGCATAGCACCTACAGCAACATGGGCTGATGTGATTAATGCACTTAGCAGAAGAAGAGAAAACAAACTAGTACAAGACATTAGAAGAAATTTACAAAGAAGTGCACTAAGGTCAGCTAGAAGTCATCGTGCTGTCACTACTAGACCATCATCACGTGCAGAAGTAAAGTTTGAAACAGCAGAAGATGAAAAGAAGATATTGGATATACTAATTGACCTCAAGAATACATTTCCTCTTTTAATGAAGCATGTACGCTCAGGCCTTAAGATGAAAATTGAAAATGATCCAGAGCTGTTAGCTAATCTTATTGTATGGATTGAGGCTTACATGCATTGGAATAATAAACTAACAAATGCATCATTAGATGAAATTTTCAAAATTATTCATCCGTTTTATGATTTTATTGATTGCAGTCTGATAGTGGACATGAGTGAAGTCTTTCTACAGGACTTCAAATTTGGTAATGATGGAAAATTGGACATTGTCAGTGAATTAAATAAATACAAGGAAAAAGCTGATAAACTTCGATTTTCAGCTCAAGTGAAGCATCTTGATGGAGCATTACAAGCAATATATAAAGAACATATACAAGATACATCAAATATGCCAATGATTGTAATGAAGCTTCATAATCCGTGGCATGGTAGCAACATCAATGTACTCTCTCTACTTATCCACAACTTACTTCCAGTTGGACACCAGCAGTCAATAATGAAATATATTACAATAACTACTGGAGGTATAATTATGTATTGATTTTTGTATGAATAGTCATTAAGTAACAATACCATATAGCTGAAAGTGTCGTGGCAAAAACTTTTGTGGTTTGGTGGCCCCAAGCCTATTAGTGGTTTTATTCATATCAATGTCTCTCATTAACCTGCTAGATGCTGCAACTTTTTTCAATAAATTAACAATAATTTTTGGTTTCAAAGTACAAAAACCACGAAAAATTTTGGTGTATGCCTCACCAGTATAGTGACCAAGTAAGAAAGGTAGTAAGAGATCTCGTGAGAATCAACAAATAAATTTATTAATAAGTTGAAAAGTTTTTCTGAACATAAAGAATGCACATACTTAAATACACACACAACAATTACATCATAAGACATCACAGAATGAAAGAAATATATATATATATTGCACAACACTAGAACGAATGATAATCAGTGAGGCATGACCTCACATAAGAATGAGAATAAGATCAGAAATAGAGTCAGATAATCATGAAATAATAGTAATAATAATGATACACTTAGCAGTTAGCAAACGTGGCAGCCATTTTTAAGTGGGGTGCATCCTACTTAGTAAAGGCTACCGCTTACTAATAGACCTTAAGCAATTAACCATTACAGTAACTACAATGATGCTGATGATAAAATTATGCCTGCATGTCACTATTTTTAAATAATCAATAGTTCAATACTGTCTATTGTACTGTAGATATATCTCAAAATTTCTGGCCAATGAAAATTATAGACCTCTATAGTATTTTCTAAATAAATATTCATTTATAGTAATACTAAATGATATGTTATGTATGGCCTTGTACACTACGCAGTTGTTGATAGGTGCTTCATCTGACCAGTGCATCTACTATAATACAACTGTTATAATATTATGTACTGATTATGTTCTTTTAGGTGATGGTCGTAGTAATGATAATAAATTAGAAGAGATGACACACCTACAAGAGTTGATTGAAGAGAAACAGATTATTATTGGTTAGTGCATCATCAGTACATAATATCATAATAGATGAGAGAATATTTTATTAATGTAGAAGATTATGAGAAACTTAAAGCTATAGTTACTGATAAAGAAATACATATAATAGAAATGTTGAAAGAGAAGAGAGAAATGGAAGAAGAGAAAAAACAGTTAGAGGAACAATATCTCAAGGAAAAACAGACCATTATTGGTTAGCTAATTGTAAACACAGCATGTATTAGATGAGAGAAAATGTTTATTGTATAGATGACAATCAAAATCTGAAAACTGACATTTCTGAGAAAGACAAAGTAATAGCCAAACTGACATCACAAGTAGAGGAACAATCACAGAATGAGAAACGGATTATCACTGGTTAGTGTATCATCATCAATTAGCAATAATTATTAATATTCTATTAATTTATAGACCTCAGAGCTAAAGTGTCTGATAATGAATTGTATATAACAAAACTAATGAAGGAGAAGTCACAACTACAGGAGAGAGTCACATCCTTAGAGGAACAATCCATCAAAGAGACTAATTCTATTGGAGTACAATTTAATTACCTGATCCCTTCAATGGGTAAGAGTATTATTGTGTACACAATGTACATGTATCATATTTTGTATTGATAGATAAATTGGATTGTCTTAGTTCCGTCCAAGTAGCAGAGAGGAAGCTGTTCTTAATTCAAGGAGACAAACCTCAACTGATGAATTGGGAGAAATATGGTCTAAGGATTGGAGTACCAGAAGGAAGCTTATTGTCCTCTGAGACAGTAGAAGTAGCAGTGGTTGCTCTTGAAGGAGGACAGTTCCAGTTTCCTCCTAATACTGTCCTAGTGAGTGCTGTGTATGCAGTATCACTCTCAAAGCCTCTCCTCAAACGACTCAAGTTAGAGATACAGCACTGCGTTGATTTAACAGGACAACCAGCTCTTAGTCGTTATCTGAAGTTTGCTATAGCTCCCGTGAGCACACCCAGTCTTCCTTACCAGTTCTCAATAATTAAGGGAGGAGAGTTTAGCTCTAATAGTGGGTATGGATCCATTCAACGTGAAGAGTTCTGTTTGGTATGCATACTGGGATTGTTAATAGCAGGAGATGATGGAGGAGGAGGAGGAGGAGGTCAGCAGCAACCTCAAGGACAAGGAGCAGGTATAGTAGCAGCTCAACAGCAACAAGGAGAAGGAGGAGTACTGACAGTACTAGCCCAGGGACAGCAACCAGGAGTTAATGAACAAACCAACGGACAACAAGGAGAGGAGGGACAAGAAGGACAACAAGAGGAAGGAGATGAATCACAAGGAGGACAGCAACAACAACAAAATGAATCACAAGGACAGCAACAACAAGAAGAACAACCGCAACAAGAAGAATCACAAGAAGGATGGCATAGAGAAGAAGGAGGAGATAATCACAAAGAAGGCAGAGGACAAGAGGAAGAACAACAAAATCCTGTCCATGTACATGTAGAAACAGAAACTGTTAGCAAAGCTGTGCTTTGTACTGAGACTAGTAAGCATGCATATTAAAATAATCAATTTGAATGTGCTTTTACTGTTTATAGGCATAGGCTATACTGATGTAAGAAAAAATATGAAATATTTTGGACTGATTTATTATAGAGAGAAAGGAGTAGAAGATTTAGTGACATTCACTGTAGCTAAAGAATTGGAGGCACTCACTCAAGTAAGTAAGCATTAGATACTGTATAATGTGTTAATTATTATTTCATTTATTTGATAGTTTGTTGAGCGGAAATACTCTGAAGCTGAGATTGGACCAAATATTTCCTTTCGTTTTAAGTTTCCTTATGAACATTATATTGAATTAAACTTTAATGCACATCAGGATGAACCAACTACAGGGTGGATAGTTCAACCACACACTAAACCTAGCAGAGTAAGCTTGTATTAATTCATATTTTATAAGGTCATATATGTTACAGCTATATCAAGAGGACATTGATAAATTTGGTGATAAAGAATATTGTTATCCTTCGTGTTGTCTCATTTCAGTTTATGGATCGCCTGATGCTGTCCCTTTTCTTAATTATTCTGTACCTCTAGTAGGAGTGGTTAACCTAGTTACATTGATCATTCATAGGGCACGAAGAAATCCTCCTCCTCCTTCAACAAGTAATAGATGATAATTATCATTTAAATTGTTTATTTATTTAATATTAATCAGATCCTACTACCTCCTCCTCTAATGTAGTACATGAATCAATGTCAGTATCATCCACTGGAGGAGCTAGTAAGTGATAATACTGTGTGTATATACTGACCTTTGACCTCTATTAGGTCCATCAACTACTGTTAATGTCGAAAAAATAAAGAAAGTGATCAATGATGTTCTTCAATCTCATTATGCTGATCTTACTTCACTACCAATGGAAGCAGTCCCTGAACTTGCAAATAAATTATTTACTCTTCGTTTAATCAATAAAGTTGTCAGAGAAAATCCTTCAATAGACAAAATCATTTCAGAGTTCCAGGCTAGTCTTACTTTCCAGAGGGAGTTGTCTCAAGTGAAGGAGCACTGTCAAAAGTTCTTAAACTCATTCGTTGAAGTTAGTGGCAGTTTTGCTTATGCAGCAATTGCTTTACACAAGGACTGGATTGAAGCTATTAGAAATAAAATTGAAAATAGTGATTTTAATATTGTTATTGATGAATGATATTGATTTTTGTAATGTTTTAAACTTTATTTCTTTCAAACCCACACACATCATGGAATTAAATCATAGATTTATTTATAACAGCCTCAAAAGGGAAAATCCCCAACACCCACGCACTTCACAACACAAAATGGCCTCCTCTTCAACCCCACCTTCTCCTCTTGATTCCAGTCCTAGAGAAGACCTGTGGGCTGAATGGCTGGAACCATTAACAAAATGGCAAACCTTTGGCCTGTACTTACCAGGAATAAAACAAAAGGACATTGATAAGATTGAAGAGGACAAGACTGGAGTGGAGAGTAGGAAGATGGGACTGTGGACTAAATGGACTGGGGTATATCCACCTGGTACATGGACTGATGTCATTAGTGCTCTTAAGAGGCTGAAAGAGAATGCACTAGCAGCTGACATTGAAGAGAGACTGAGGAAAGGAAAAGTATTTGAAATTAAAAGTGAGACATTAAAGGGAGGGAGGATTATTGGAGCAACTTAAATACAATTTTAACTCTAGATGACAAGAATAATGTACCGTATACGCCATGTATTTCATGGGAATTAAATTTCACGTTTTGAAAAAATTCATGAAATTAAAATCCGCAAAATAATGTGCTGATTGTATAGTAGGTGTGGTAATTACATTAAAATTGCAAAATTTTATACCTGTGAAATATATGGTATATACGGTATTAGGAAATGTAATAAAAATTGAAAATTCTCACATTTTCAATCTTGGCAAAATTTGGCCTAATTTTGAGTAACTTTCAAAATTCATAAAAAATCTAATTTTGATCGGAATCAGCTTAAACTTTTTATGCAACATAAGAACATGTATATGTATCAGAAAAAATTATAAAAATGGAGAATTCTCTCCTTTTCAATTTTGGCGAAATTTGGGCATGACCTGGGACTTTGGCCCAATTTTTGAGTAAATTTAAAAAATTGTAAAAAAAATTTAATTTTGATTGGAATCAGCTCAAACTTTCTACACAACATAAGTACATGTATATGCATCAGAAAATGTAATAAAAATGGAGAATTCTCTACTTTTCATTTTTGGCAAAATTTGGCCCATGACCCTGTACTATAGTACAGGGACTTTTACCCGATTTTGAAATAATTTTAAAAATTTGTAAAAAATCCAAACTTGATCGGAATTAGCTCAAACTTTCTACACAACATTAGAACATGTATATGTATTTTTAAATGTAATAAAAATGATGAATTCTCTACTTTTCAATTTTGGCAAAATTTGGGCGTGTACAGGGATTTTCACCTGATTTTTGGCTATCGTTAAAATTTTGTAAAAATCCAATTTTGATCGGAATCAGTTCAAACTTTCTACACAACATAAGTACATGTATATGCATCAGAAAAAATTATAAAAAATCAAGATTTTTTTCCAAGTCATTTCTGACGAAATACCCTGTACTATAGTACAGTACCACAATATGAGACACTATAATTATTAATGTCTTCTTATATTACAGGTCCTCCTGCTGTTGCTCCTCCCCCTCCATCAGTTGATATTAATAAATTAAGACGAATAATAACTGAAGTGATACGAACCAACTATGCTACATTCAATAAAATATGATGCAAAGACATTGTAATCAGTAAATACC